ATAGAAAGGTGTTTGGCACTGGCCTGCCATTGAAAAGGATAATTGAACAAATTCCTGTAACTATGAATCTAGTGACCGGGCAAGAAGACAGGGTGAAATAGGTAGCTACAACAATGAACAATTCTCAATTAAATCAGCATGGGATGCCATCAGAGAAAAACAACAAATTGTACCCTGGCCAAACATTATCTGGTATAATCATAATGTTCCTAGATGGTCTTTTACTCTGCGGTTAGGAGCCCTTGGGAGATTAGTTAATATGGATTGAGTTTTTAAATAGGGTTTGGCTCAAAGTGTGTGGACAAGCTGCTGAGGGCCATTGCCATTTATTTTTTGGCTACAATTTTACAAAGAATATTTGGAGCCACTTTCTTATGTTGTTAGGATTAGTAGACCTCCATTTACTTTGAACCAAGAGATTCGATGGGCTGGGCAACACATGCAGGTTAAAAGATTTGGCCAGAGATTGTATAAGCTCTCTCTATCTGCAGCAGTCTATCAAATTTGGAGTGAAAGAAATGGCAGAATTTTTAAGCAGAAAGAAAAGCAAATACTTGAAGTAATTGGCAAGATTCAGACTAATATTAGAAAGAAGATAGTTACTTGGGGGAGAGTTGATGATAATATGGTGAACAAGGGCCTTATCCAAAGTTTTGGTCTATCAACTTGTCTCATTAGGAGAGTCATAGTAGTGGATTGATCTAAGTTGTTACCCACAAATTCAGTAGTTGTTTCTTTTGTTTGAATAGAAGCTTGCTCTTTGTACAGATTGGTTTTGTTTTATAAAATTTACCTTACCAAAAAAAAAAAAAAAAAAAAAACATTAGACTTCCTTAAAAGGATTAAATTTATATAACAACTACTCTCATTTTCTTCAAAAAATCGTCAATCATAAAAAAAATCATATTGTTATCTCTTTTATATTGAAATATATATTTTACTTATTAATTCTAGTCCCTTTAGCTAATACGGAATGCTATATTTTCTTTGAATCTGGGAATGTTGGTGTAATTTACCCAAAACAATTAAAATGATTAACCCATTATTTACACATATGAGCAAGCAATTCAGTAATTCGGAATGCTGATCATCTATAAAAAGACAATGCACACTACACTAGCAATTATTGGGCTAATTACACTTTTCACCCTTGCAATTTGACACGAATCTCACTTTAGCTCCTACAATTTCAATTTTAAGAATTTAATCCCTACACTTTTAAGTCTTGTTTCAATTTTGCCCTTCCATCTAAATTAAAAGCTAAAATTAATAATTTTAGGATCCTTGTCAATTTTTGAAGGTATACACATAAACAAAATTAACAAAAATTTAAACAGAACCATCAAATTGAAAATACGTGACCAAATTGTTCAAACTGAAACTATAAGGACTAAAATGATATTTAGGTCAAACTACGAGTGTGAAAAGTATAATTAACCCAACAATTATTGTTGGAGGCCACAAAACTCCATAGAAAATCTCAAGCTTTTAAGACTCCATATAGGAATTGGAGATACATACATACATGTAGTATATCCTCCAGTAGGGAAGGTCCCTCCATGAATGAATGTAGGATGTGAATCGGGAGGAGCCCCCTCAACAACTCTTCAAGGAAACAGTTGTGAGAAAGATCGTCTGTAAATTGGTCTGTTGCCATCACTACTCCCAAATTTGTTGTCAATGAGTAGGTTTTACATACAGTTTGATTGTGTGATTAGGGAGGAAAATAAAAGAAATTGGAAAGACTATAGTACACATCATCCGTCAACTGGTGTACGCACCAAAAGCAAAAGTAAATGACATAATTTTATAATTTTTGATTCATAATTAAAAATATTTTTCTTATTATGTAAGGTATTTTGGGTCAATTTACACGCACAGATTAAATCTCTACAGTCCAAACAAGCCTTTCGACCCCAAGGTATTACGCCCTGCAGGCCGTGGCTCCAAGCTATGCATTTGCTGGTTAAGGGATTCGAACTTGAAACCTGGAAGGGAGTAAACCTCTAAGTTCCAGTCGTCACCTAGGCCAACCATCCTGTAATTATAATTAATAAATATTAATCATAACTAAAATACATTTATCTCTTGATGTATATCATGTGATTAGATAAGCAGAAAGGAGGGAAATGGGAAGAAAGGTCAATAATTCCTATTCTGAAGGTCTCCAAACGATTGGGAGATAAATATGAAGGGAAATTAATTCTATTCCACATCATAAAAAATTTCATTTGAATATAAATTTTTAAATAAAAATCAAATATTTAGATATAAATTTATAAATAAAAATAAATTATTCAAATATGCATCCCTTCAATTGTTTATGTTTAACCAACTGTTTTTTTTTTTTGTTAATAATTTATGTCTGAACATTTAATTTTGTTTGAAAATTTATATCGAAACAATATAAAATGGTATGTATTAAAGTTTTATGTAGTGTGAGAATAAAATTAACCGAAAATGAAACATGTGTTGGTGTAATACAAAAACTATCATTTTAGATATATTAAAGAAATAAGAAGGCTAATATTTATGAAAAGTTAATTTGATAATCTAATATTATAACATTTCTTTTGTTTTTTAATATAACTTAACTAAATAATATAAGGGATAATTTTTTTTTCTCTCTTTCTTATTTATCCAAACAGAAGAGAGAAATCACAATCTTGGATATAGAAGTTGACAGTCATGAAATTCTCGGAAAATCGTTATTATGAATCGTTCTGCTGTTATGGTAGTAAGATGGGGTTTGGCCAGGGCCATCGGTGGTGGATCAATTTACATCTTAAAAGCCAAGAATATTATATATATATATATATATAACTGAGAACATTATCAATTTTTTCATTTTTAAAGTTTTTTTTTTAGTTTTACACATCAATGTTCCATCATCATGCTGCTTTACAGACACAAAATTTTCAATTTTGCACAAAAAAATAATTCAGTTTTTTTATTTTTTTCAAAAAAAAAATTCATTTTGCTTGTTTCCAATTTTTAGAATTCACTTTTCAGAAAATTTACATTTTCATTTTTGCGTATTTTTTTCACTAAATTTTTTAATATTTTAAGCAATTTTTTTAATTTTTAGATACACCTAACACAAATACACTTAGAAAGTATAATATTTGTGAAATTATTTTTTTTTAAATTCATTAAATATCAAAAATACAAAAAAAAAACAAAAATTTAATACATTTTTTGTATTTTGTTTATTTATTAAATATTTAAAATATTTTTTCACAAATAATTGACTATTTAGTTTCATTTAAGTAAGTTACATCTAAAAAAGTAAAAAATTACTTAAAATTTAAAAAATATTCACTAAAAACAAAAACAAAAAAAAAAACGAAAAACCAAAAAAAAATCTACAATCCTCATTATCTCATATATATACTACCGTTTCTACCACGCAAACCTGTCTTATACGAAGGATTGTTTGGGATAGTTATTAGTTTATTTGTTTCAGTTTTTTAAATTGAATTTTTTATTTTTTTGTATTTTTTTTGTTTTTAATAAATATTTTTAAAATTTTAAGTAATTTTTTATTTTTTTAGATCTAAATAGTAAAATATTTTAAGAAATTAATAAATACACAAAAATATGAAAAATGTCTTGAATTTTTATTTTTTTTTTGGTATTTAAAATAGTGTATTTTTTAAATATTTTTTTCACAAATATTATAATTTTTAAGTATATTTATGTTGGGGTTTTTTTTTAAGGTACCTGATATTAAAATTTTATAGTATAAAGGACACTCAATATTTTCATAATGTCTAAGGTCCCTCAACATCAATCCATAGAAAATTCGACCCAGAGAATTTCTCTGGAATTTTCTCTGGACTTCCTAGAGAAATTCTCTTTAGAGAAATTCTGAAAATTTCTCTGGACTTTCCTGAGATTTTTTCTCCAAAGAAATTCTGGGAATTTCTCTACACTTCCTAGAGAATTTCTCTGGACTTCCCAAAGATTTTCTCTGCACTTCCCAGAGAATTTCTCTGGACCTCCTAGAGATTTTATCTCCAGAGAAATTTGTGTTTTGACTCAACTAGAGAAAATTGATAAAAAAAAAGGAACCTCAAGATCAATATATACCTAATCATTATCAAACTAGAAAAAATCCATTCAAAATCACATGTTTCATTTTTTTCCCCTTCCAATATTTGAGCAAGTAAACAAATTAATAGAGAAACTGAAGCAACCAAATATCAAAAAGAAACTAACACATCCCGAGTTTTCCAGAGAAAATTCGCACAGTGACTAAATCCAGAGAAAATTCATACAATAGCCAAATCCAGAGAAAATTCACACAGTGACTAAATCCATAGAAAATTCACATATAATCTGCATAAACCCCCAGAATCTTTGAGTAAACAATCACCACTCTCATTATCTCCAAACTTGAACAAAATTGTTAATTTTTGAAACTCCAACTTGAACAAATTCACAGAGAAATTCACATCAACCCAAAGAAATTCTTCAAAATCAGTGAAAATTTCATCTCTACCCCAGAGAAAATCTCCCTCTCCAACCCAAAAAAATTCCCCCTCACAATCTTTTCTGGTTGAAAATCATAAACCTCAGGCAAAATGTGTTCCATGGTTTACACATTGATAGTATATCTGTCCATTTTCCACCAATTTGGTCACGTCACTTGTCCATCCACGCCACCAATATGTCTAAGTATCATCTATATCTATCTATCCACGTATCACCTATCTATCCACCTAATATTATTATTTGTCTACCTAATCTACCCATTTGTCCATATCACCACGACCACTAGTCACCATGGCTGGCGACTTTTCTGGCATCTGACGGTGATCCAGTAGGTAAAAAATAAAATAAAAAAAAAAATTTAAAAAAAAAAAAAAAAAACTTCCTTCAAAACAATAATTTATACCTCACCAAACAATTTCATTAGACATATCCTTATCTCAATAAAACATCAATCCTTAGACTAAATACCATCTCTATAGAAATGAACTTATCACCAATTATCCCTAAATAAAAAAAAAAAAGAGAGGGAGTGGAGGAGGCATTACCCTTTTCTTCATGAGCTCAGGGTTGCCAATGCTATCACCAAGAACACTTCGAAGCTCTTCATCATTTTTGCAAGCATCTTCCAACACTCTACACAAAACACAATTAAATTAAAACACACACACCAAGCAATCATACAATAACCAACACTCAAATCTCAAACAATATGATCAAAAAAAAAAAAAACCAATATAAAAAAAATACTTGGCCCAAGCAGGATAGTTGTGGAGACGATCGAATTCACGCTTCCTCTTCTCCTCTCGAATCCTGAGCAGTCTCCGACCTCTCGCAGTTGTTCCAGACCCTTTCGCAGCTATTTCATTGGAATTTCCATCGTCTTCTTCCCCAAATTTGTCATTTGAGTGCGATTTTGTTGCTGATGAATAGATTAGAAGATGATGTGTAGATGAAAAGCTCGGTTTGTAGATGGAAGAGGGAAATGCTAGAAGCTGAGCTGATGAGAGAGGTGGATTCGAAGAGAACAAGGGTTTCCATGGCGTTGAGGAGGTTTGGCAGTGATGAAGACGAAGACGCAGTGGAGTGTTTCCACAACAGTACATTATTGTTAAAAAAATATGTGTATAATATTAAAATCTACAATCCTCATTATCTCATATATATACTACCGTTTCTACCACGCAAACCTGTCTTATACGAAGGATTGTTTGGGATAGTTATTAGTTTATTTGTTTCAGTTTTTTAAATTGAATTTTTTATTTTTTTGTATTTTTTTTGTTTTTAATAAATATTTTTAAAATTTTAAGTAATTTTTTATTTTTTTAGATCTAAATAGTAAAATATTTTAAGAAATTAATAAATACACAAAAATATGAAAAATGTCTTGAATTTTTATTTTTTTTTTGGTATTTAAAATAGTGTATTTTTTAAATATTTTTTTCACAAATATTATAATTTTTAAGTATATTTATGTTGGGGTTTTTTTTTAAGGTACCTGATATTAAAATTTTATAGTATAAAGGACACTCAATATTTTCATAATGTCTAAGGTCCCTCAACATCAATCTAGAGAAAATTCGACCAAAAGAATTTCTCTCAACTTCCTAGAGAAATTCTCTTCAAAAAAATTCTGGAAATTTTTCTGGACTTTCTTGAGATTTTCTCTCCAGAATTTCTCTAGACTTCCCAAAGAATTTCTCTAGACCTCCTAGAGATTTTCTCTCCAGAGAAATTTGTGTTTTAACTCAACCAGAGAAAATTAATCAAAAATGAACCTTAAGATAAATATATACCTAATCATTATCAAATCAGAGAAAGTCCATTCAAAATCACATTTCTTTTTTTTCCCCTTCCAATATCTGAGCAAGTAAACAAATTAATAGAGAAACTAAAGTAACCAAATATCAAAACAAAACCAACACATCTCAAGTTTTCATGAGAAAATTTGCATAATGACTAAATCTAGAGAAAATTCACACAATAGCCAAATCTAGAGAAAATTCACACGTTGACTAAATCCATGAAAAATTCACATAGTCTGCATAAACCTCCAGAATCTTTGAGTACACAATCACTACTCTTATCATCTCCAAACTTGAACAAAATTGTTAATTTTTGAAACTCCAACTTGAACAAAATTCACAGAGAAAATCTCACTAGAGAAATTCTGGGAGAAGAATTTCTCTGGACTTTCTAGAGAAATTCACATTAACCCAAAGAAATTCTTCAAAACCAGAGAAAATCTCACCTCTACCCAGAGAAAATCACTCAAACCAGAGAAAATCTCCCTCTCCAACCCAGAGAAATTCCCCTTTACAATCTTTTCTAGTTAAAAATCATAAACCTCAGGCAAAATGTGTTCCATGGTTCACACATTGGCTCCAGAGAGAAAAATTTTGATTTTGTTGACAAAACCACTAATGTAGAGAAAATTCAAAGTCAGAACCATAAATACAATAAGAACAATCAATTTGGCGTTGAAAAGTAGATTTCAAACCCAAAGAAATTCTCTGTTTCTCTCTAGAGAAATTTCAACAATGAAAGACCTACCAGAGAAATTTGAACAGAGAATTTCTCTAGGTTCAAACCAGAGAAAATTGAAATTTCTCTGAGTTCAAACCACAGAAATTCTCTCCAGCCTGAGAAAATTCACAAACAATTATCACAATCAGAGAAAATGTAGAGTAATTTGACATCTTTACACCCTTATCTTACTCCTATTCAATATAGTAACAACAAGAGAGATTTTCCATTCGCAACAATGACTTGAATTACATATCCACCATCCATCAAATTTCTCTAGCCTTCTCCTCCATTTCTGCTCCGACAATTTCAACCGCTACTTTCCAATCTCTTCACAGTTTTCTGCATTTTTATATATCAAAACACAGTGTTGTTACGCAATATGTATGTATGTATATATATATATATATTAGGTATGTAGTCCAGAATAATAATATTGAGAAATGAGAGCTTACATTTTGATGCTTTATACGTACAAGTAACCAAGTAGATGTGTGGTTAAGAGCGTTCGTCTACAAATTACAGTCGATGATGATCGAGGATGAGAAAGAGAGAGAGGTGAATCTAGCGAGTGCCATGGTTGGTGATATAAATTGATGAAATGACGTACGGGAGGTGGACGAAGGGTGTGATGGATCTGTGTAGGGTTAAGGGAATTTTCTTTGTGATATATGGATGTTGGGTTAAGGGACCTTAGACATCACAAAATAATATTGTGGATCTCTTCTACCACAAAAAATGGGAAAGAAACCTTACACTAATTTTCCCTATTTATTATTATTATTCATACTAATACTTTAATGATTAAAGTCATAAATTTTTTCACAAATCTGTAATTATTTCTCAAAATTAATTAGGTTTTCCATGTTATTTGTTAATTCATTGTTTAATTTTTGGAAGATTGTTTGGCTCACTTTTAATAGAAAAAAGTCTAGTAAGATAAAAATTAATCACATAATTGAATATATTCTTATATGAGGTTAGTTCCACTTTTTGTAACAGTTATGTTGGGTATTACGGATCTTTCATATGCATTGTGCCCCGGTTTGGTAATCTCATTGGGCGAAATAATCACATATGGACAAAAAAAAAAAGGTTAAAAAGTCAAAAAGTCAACAAAAACGTTTGTCATTCACAAGGTAAAAAGCCAAATAAGAAAACTAAACAATCAAAAAAGTCTCAGGTTAAAAAAGTTAAAAAAAGCCATTGCCAAACGAACTCTACATTTGCTATGCATAATATTTTAATCATTTTTCAACAATCTCAAATAGGGTACTGTTCAATATGAAAAATGCTATGAATCCCAAATAATGTACTAAATTTTTTACCAAACTTCTCACATGGTGTGGGACCAACCGTGTGGGTCCCACACCCAAGTGAGAGGTTTGGTAGAAAATTTAATAAATTATTTGGGATCCCTAACATCATTTGTTCAATATTATTAAGGGGTAAAAAGTCAACAAAAACGTTTGTCATTCACAAGGTAAAAAGCCAAATAAGAAAACCAAACAATCAAAAAAGTCTCAGGTTAAAAAAGTTAAAAAAGTCATTGCCAAACGAACTCTACATTTGCTATGCATAATATTTTAATCATTTTTCAACAGTCTCAAATAGGGTACTGTTCAATATGAAAAATGCTATGAATCCCAAATAATGTACTAAATTTTTTACCAACCTTCTCACATGGTGTGGGACCAACCGTGTGGGTCCCACACCCAAGTGAGAGGTTTGGTAGAAAATTTAATAAATTATTTGGGATCCCTAACATCATTTGTTCAATATTATTAAGGGGTTGTTTGGGATGTTCTAAATAAATGCACTTTTTGACTTTTTATGAAATATGGATTGGGTTTGAAGTGATGTGATAGAGAGGTAATGTGACTTAAATAGGATAGTAACTTTTTAACTTTTTGACTTTTTTAAGTTATGACAAACAAAGCCTAAATATTTTAATATTACACTTGAGCCCACGAATGTAACGCATGGGTTGGCTGTTTAAAGGGGTATAGTGGGTGTTTAGGTGATGTTGTCGTAACCAAAAAGCCCAAAAGTATACTATAGCATTTTTTTCCTTGTCCCTTCATTGCGAACAAAACGGAATCTCAAAAATGGGAACGCCAACGTTTCCTTGACGATGTTGTAGTGTTGATCCTCAATTTGTGTGAGTTGAACGCTGGATTTGGGAATGTTACACCCAGAATTCGTTATTCCCCAAATAACATTACAAAACCCCCAAAAAATCCTAGAAAATCATGAAAACCCCTTCTATCAAATTTACAGAGGCGAAGCGGCATGGGCACTAGGATATCATGGAGTGCAATTCACATTGAGGACGTAACATCGGCGATTTAAAATTAATCCGTCGATGGCATCGTTGATCGTGTGTTAGCGCGATGATAACAAGTATGGGTGCCTTCGATGTAAGTTTGGTTGTTTATGGAACAATACGACATCAAGGTCGATGCTCGAAATGAGTTTTTGTTTAATTGATGTGTCGTGCGGGGTTTTAGGTAAACTTGTTCACGTCACAGGTTTGGAGTTCACCATTGATTGCAAATGTAATGTTGTGCATGTTTGTAATGTGACAGATGCGTGGTTTTGTTGGTTAATGTTGTAATATTTTCATAGAGTGTGGGGGTTACTAATAATTGCAAATGTGATGTTGTACATGTATTAATGTAATAGACGCATGATGTTGTAGCTAATGTTTGTATGATTGGGTGTGTATTTTGTAATGTTGGGGGCTAGTGGGAGGATGTATGCCTGTTGGTGGCGTTTGGTGGTGATAGGGGATAGTGGTTGTTAATTGTCAGGAATTGTCGAACTATGTCGATGTTATGTGGTTGGTGGTTGGTGTTTGGTGCTAATGTTATAGATTGTTAGTGGGAGGCTTAATGGTACGGCAATATGGCTCTGGGCTGATGTTATGTAGGTAAATGTGAACGTTACAATCCACGCACCTCTCTAGGAAAACGGAAATGATTTAACATCAATAATGTAACACCAAGTAGGTAACATCAATAATCCCCACAATCACTCCACGAAATCTCTTGAAAAAATGGAAATGTTAAACCATACTTTATCCACGTACACTCAATTCCAAAAAAAATAAAAAACATAATCACAATAAGAGGCAAACAAGTAAACTCAAATATTACTAAATCAAATCAACAATACATACTACAAATAAAAAGGACTATTTGGCTTATAAAAAAACATGTAAGACTAAATGGACTAACATTTCTCCAAATGGGATTTATGAGTAATTTTTTCTTTTTCTTTAGGTTCATCTGTGCATCTAAAAAGTAAAAAATATTACTTAAGATATTAAAAAATTGATTAAAAATATAAAAAAAATACAAAAAAAATTAATTTTTAAAAAATAATCAAAATCAAGCAAGGTGAATCTATGTTTAAAGAAATTAAGTTTATATATATATATATATATATTTAATAATTTTAATTGGGTTGGGACGGGTGCAACGGTTAGAGAAAGAAAAATCGTTCCCTCTCCCCTTGTTTGCTCATGGGTGGGGGGAAAGATTTGTGTGGCGGGGAAGATTTGTGTGGCATGAGGCTTGAACTGTGAGGATAGAGTAGGTGGGGGAAAAA